AACTTTTTAATTGACAATGACACTGCTCAATTCACTAATTGTAGCTTTTTCCTAACAAAAGACCCCATCTCTAGCCTATAATATCTAACCTAAAATTTCCATGTTTTGGGCTGATGTGAAGTATATTCAAGGAAATTTATAATGGAAAAAAATTCTCTCCATAGTTTAAAAAACAACAGTAACAACAATTCAGTAAAATTATACAGAAGGATCAAAAAGCAACATCCCTATGAACGCTTGACTGCCACAAGCCAGTTATCCTTGTGGTAAATTTTCTAACACCGTCTAGCTTCAAATTCCGAAGGTCTAAAGTATATCTCCATAGTTTAAAAAACTTCAAATTTAAATTGTAAAAAGTCCTCCGGCTTCTTTTCTGACAAAAAAAAAAACTTGAGCCTAAATCGTAATCAATTTTTCATTGAAATAACTTCAACAATTATAGTACAGAACTGTGATTCTGCCCCCAAGACCCAAGTTGTTTCAGTGTACTGCACACTGAAATGTATGTTCATCCAAGCTGTTTGCCACTATGAAAATTCACGTTTTGAAGCATCTAACTGCATAGAGGGATCCAGGATTTAAGTTCAAAATTTAAGGTTCTTAGTATTGAACCATTATATTTTAAAATGGTGTCTCTACTATATATCGCAATTTTAGTGGATATTTATACATAAATTTATGCCCGCGTCAATAATACTGGTTCAAATAAACCCGGTACAAAAAAGCTAATGGGGGTGGACCATCATGAACAAAGTGGTAGGGATACCAAAAAACTAATGGGGGTGGACCATCATGAACAAAAGTGGTAGGGATATCAATGCTATCTGCCGCGTGCATTCTTTATGCCTCTTTCATCATTTGAGCCTTTTAGGATTCTCCTCACCTAAAAACCAACCATATTGCCTTATTTGTTCCATTTTGTGTGTAACAACTAAATAATGTCACATTTTGGATGCATAAATGAAAGAGATTTGTGAAGGTTTTCGAATATGAACCATATGTATTAGATTTGATAGTTAGATACAACAACAACCCAGTAAAATCCTACTAGTGGGGTCTGGGAGGGTAGTGTGTACGCAGACCTTACCCCTACCCCGAAGGAGTAGAGAGGCTGTTTCTGAAAGACCCTCGGCTCAAGAAAACAAAAAGATAAAATGAGACAATATTAATATCACCACATAAATCATAGGAAAAATAGGAACAACATGAAATCCAGAAGAAAGATGCAAAGCAAAAGCAATAGCTAGTAAATAGTTCCTGCACTGAAAAGCGAAATAGTAAGACACAATATTGCCACTAGCTATCTTAGACAAAAATCCTACCAGACTAGTCTCACAAAGGTACGAAGTAAGGCAAGACTCAACTACCTCCTAACCTACAACCCTAATACTCGACCTCCACATCTTCCTATCCCGTGTCATGTCCTCGAAAATCTGAAGCCTCGCCATATCCTGCCTAATCATCTTTCCCCAATACTTCTTAGGCCACCCTCTACCTCTTCTCGTGCCCTGCACAACCAGCCGTTCACACCTCTTTACCGGAGCATCTGGGCTTCTCCTCAGAACATGCCGAACCATCTAAGCCTCGCTTCCCGCATCTTGTTATCAATGGGAGCCACGTGCACCTTCTCTCGAATATCATCATTCCTAATCTTATCCATCCTAGTGTGCCCGCACATCCACCTCAACATCCTCATTTCTGCTACTTTCATCTTCTGGATATGTGAGTTCTTAACAGGCCAACACTCAGCCCTATACATCACGGCGGGTCTAACCACCGCTTTATAGAACTTACCTTGGAGTAACGGTGACACTCTCTTGTCACATAGGACTCCAGATGCTAACCTCCACTTCATCCATCCTACCCCAATACGGTGTGACATCCTCATCGATCTACCCTCCCCCTTGGATAACCGACCCAAGGTACTTGAAGCTGCCTCAACTTGGGATGACCTGAGCGCTGAACTTACACTCCAAGTATTCTGTCTTCGTCCTTCTCAGCTTGAAACCCTTAGACTCAATCTCCAAACCTCCAGCCTCTCGTTAACACCGGCTCGCAACTCATCAATCAGAACTATGTCATCGGCGAATAGCATGCACCATGGCACCTCCCATTGAATATGGTGTGTTAACGCGTCCATCACCAGGGAGAATAAGAACGGACTGAGAGTAGAACCTCGGTGTAACCCCATTACAACCAGAAAATGCTCAGAGTCACCTCCTACTATCCTAACCCGAGTCTTAGCCCCATCATACATGTCCTTAATCGCCATAATGTAGGGAACCGACACACCTTTTGCCTCCAAGCATCTCCAGAGAACTTATCTAGGAAACTTGTCATACGCTTTCTCTAGGTCAATAAACACCATGTGCAGATCCTTCTTCCTCTCTCTATACATTTCCACCAACCTCCTAACAAGGTGTATAGCTTCTGTAGTAGAACGACCCGACGTGAACCCAAACTGGTTGTCGGATACAGACACCGTCATCCTCACCCTCGCTTCAACCACCCTCTCCCACACTTTCATGGTATGACTCAATAATTTGATACCCCTATAATTGTTACAACTCTGTATATCACCTTTGTTCTTATACAATGGAACCACCGTACTCCACCTCCATTCATCTGGCATCCTCTTCGCCTTAAAAATAACATTAAACAACCCAGTCAACCACTCCAAACCTGCTCTCCTCACACACTTCCAAAATTCCACTGAAATCTCGTCTGGCCCGGTCACTCTCCCCACATACTTCCAAGATTTGTTAGTTAGATAATTTCACATTGATTGGTATCAAATCAACTTTTGATAAGCGCATCTTAACATGTTTTTCTGCATTTACTTCTATAGTATTGAAGTCCATGCGAAGAAGAGTTTTTAACTATGATTTATAATGTTAGGTGTGTGTGAACAAAGTAACACATGGAAAGTGGATAAGAAAAATAAGCTACTTATAAGAAGTTGGATACTCTTAATGATGTGAGGCCTTTTGGAAAAAACCATGCGGGCTTGGCCCAAAGCGGACAATATCACACCATGTTAAAAGTATCTTTTGGCCATTTTAGCCCAATAACTGGTGTTAGAGCCAATGGTTGACGAGGACTATTAAGATGGCAGAGTGTAGCGTGGGGGCCCGGCTCAATGCCTTTGCCCGTCTACGGGAATTATGACCTTTATCTTAATGGTGTGATGCCTTTTGGAAAAAACGGTGCGGGTTTGGCCCAAAACGGACTATATCACACCATGTTAAGAGTATCTTTGGGCTGTTTTAGCCCTAAGTATAAAAGTCTTGGGTTACTCCAAACTAATGTCACAGATTTATCAGTTAGACGCCCAAGATCTTTTTACAATTTCATTTCATTTGAGTAATATTTCAAGCTTTCTATGGAATGAGTCATTTTATATGCGTAAACAAAAGTAATTTTGTGCAGAATGATACAAGTTCTTTTGGAGCAATAGTTGGAAGAGTTGCAAATCGGATTGGTGGTGCTCAATTTACTTTGAATGGAACCCTTTATAAGCTTATCGCCAATGATGGCAATAACACCATTCATGGTACTCTCAGTAGATCTCTATTTTACCTTTGATCCAATTTCACCTCCATATAAACCAGGTTCCCTTCCTCTTATATATGTAAAAACTTCAAAAATATAGGTGGCTCTAAAGGATTTAGTCATGTAATTTGGAAGGTGAGCAAGTACGAGAAAGATGGTTCCAATCCTCACATTACTTTAATTTACCACAGTGCTGATGGTGAACAAGGTGAATGCATATATCTCCTTGGTTATATTCCACAATACAATACAGTAATTAATTTCCATTTAAAGATACATTATTTTCGTTTGTAGGATTTCCAGGTGATCTTCTTGTCTCTGTTACCTATGCATTAAAAGATCCTTACAAGCTAAGTGTGGTAATGAAGGCAAAAGCTCTAAACAAGGCCACTCCAGTTAACTTGGCTCAACACACTTATTGGAACATTGGCGGACACACCAGTGGCGATATCTTGTCCAACGTTATTCAAATCTTTGCATCACAAATCACCCTAGTAGATCAACATCTCATTCCAACAGGCGCACTCTCCACTGTCAAGAACACGGCCTATGATTTCCTTGAGCCCCGTAAAGTTGGAAGCCAGATCAACAAACTCCAAAATGGATATGATATCAACTATGCACTCGACAGTAGTGCAAAAATGAAACATGTGGCAATAGTTTATGATAAGAAGTCAGGAAGAGTGATGGATTTACAAGCGTCTGCACGTGGTGTGCAATTCTACACTGCAAACTCTCTCATTAAGAAGGGGAAAGGTGGATATGTGTATCAGCCTCATGCAGCTTTGTGTTTGGAGACTCAAGGGTTCCCGGATGCTGTAAATCACCCAAATTTCCCTTCAACTATTGTGACTCCAGGAAAGAACTACGTTCACAAGATGCTGTATACGTTCTCAATCAAGAAATACTAGAACGCTTATATGAATTGTGTCTTTTTGCATAAATTTATATTTCTCTCAAGGTTATATGTGCTTTGTGAAGAATAAAACACCTGACATTTAGATTCAATACAGTTGTGCTGGGATGGAGTTTTCAAACATGTTCTGTGAGTGTTTGCATTTGGACACACTGTTTCTGGAGTGACAAATCTCTAATGTTTCAAGTTAAAAATAGTACTATGTGGTGTTTACCAAAGAGATACTTTTGGCGTTGATCCTGTCCATCTTTTGTAAACATTATCTATTGCACAATAACAATTAATTAATCTAGTTACTCCTAAAATCAATCTAAGACATATTAAAGAAGAATGAAATACTATCACAAATAGATACAAAAAGCTTTTACTATATTCAAATATAAATTAGGTTCATAAAGGTACAACTGACTAATGGTCAAGAAAAAAAAAAAGAATGAGAATCATGGCAACGTGGGTGCTATTTTTTGTAATTACATGTCAACAGAAACGTGGGTGCTACCTTTGCAATTAAATATACAGACCGCCGGACAGCTACCTTTGGCTCTGTCTGTCCACTTATCATTATGAATTTTCACTGGAGTTATCCCATCCTGTCTTGAACACATGCAGATAATAAGTTAAACTCATCCCAAAATTGGAGTGCTGCATATTTTCAAGACTGAAGAGGCTCGCTCTGTCAAAACACTGGAGTTGACTATGTCAAAGATTAGTATGTTGTTGATCTGTTTGTTCATTTTTCATCTGTTGTCTGCGGCTAGTGTTAGAGGGCGAAAGATAGGGATATATGAGATCAAGAAAGGGGATTTCTCTGTTAAAGTCACTAATTATGGTGCCAGAATCATCTCCATTTTCCTTCCTGATAAGCATGGTATGCCTGTGTTCTACATTATCAATCCAGAGGTGGATCTAGAATTTAAATTCATTGGATTCAAGTTGTATGGTTTTTAGCACTGAACTGATTGTATATCTTGAAATTATCAGTTTAAAATTTAATATTTGGTGAAATTTTAGTGGGTTTTCATATTCACATATATATTTATGTTCCGTGTCAAAAATGCTGACGCATAGGCCACATCTGCCAGCTGAATCAATCTTACCTTTTGGAAAACATGTTCCTGCTTGATAATGTGATCTTGTTTCAACCTTCTTGATTGTACTGTTTTCTGCTGTTCCTTTTAAGAAATCAGTCTTACTGTCTCTTGCTCCTTTCCAGGCAGAATAGATGATGTTGCTCTGGGATATGATACGGTCGAAGAATACGAGGTTAGTTCACTTTATTTTATTTTGATGGATCTATTTGAATTCTGCTCTTTGCTAAAACTTTTTGTTGTTCATTTTCTCATTAAGGAAAAGACAATCAGAAAAAGAGAGTGATATACCTCCTGCCTTTCCTTTCTTTGATTTGCCTACTATTTTATTGCATGTCACTGTGGTTCTCTGTGAGTCAATAGAAATTGTGCCATGTCAAAATTCATAACCAATTGTGAATCCAAATTAACAGTTTTTTTTCTTTGTTACTGTCTAATTGTAGCTCTTTCCTAACAGAGACCGTATCTCTAGCCTATAATATCTAACTTAAAACCTTCCATCTTATGGACTGATGTGAAATGAAGTACATCGAAGGAAATTTAGACTGGAAAAAAACCAACCTTATGCCTTATTTGTTCTTATTTTCTATTTAATTAAATCATCTCTCATTTTGGATACATAAAAGAAAGTGATTTATGTAGGTTTTCAACTACAATGTATATTGCATTAAGGAATTAGATTTGATAGTTAGATTATTTCACTTTGGTATCACATCAACTTATGACAAGTTGTTTTAACATTTTTTTGTGCTTTTAACTCTATTAATTAAAGTCCGTGTGAGTAAGAGTTTTGAACGTATTAATGTCCCATTTTAGCTTCAAGCTTTCTATGGAATGAGTTGTTTGTATATTGAAATCTTCATATGCATAAACAAATATGAAGTAATTTTGTGCAGAATGATACAACTTCTTTCGGAGCCCTACTAGGAAGGGTTGCTAACCGGATTGGCGGTGCTCAATTTACTTTGAATGGAACCCTTTATAAGCTTATTGCCAATGATGGCGCAAACACGCTGCACGGTATCCTCACTACAGTTTCTTTTAGCTTTGGTTTTTCTTCCAAATTTCAGCTGCATATACCCAAATTTCCTTCCTCTTATATGTAAAAACTTCAAAAATATATAGGTGGCCCTGAAGGATTTAGCCGTGTTGTTTGGAATGTTAGCAAGTATGAGCAAGATGGTCCCTATCCTCACATTACTTTAACCTACCACAGTGCTGAAGGTGAAGAAGGTGAATCTGTTTAGTTATTCCACAAGATAATTACAGTTATTAATTTCCTTTGGAAGATACAGTATGAGATGAGTAAAATCCATTATTTTCGTTCTTAGGATTTCCTGGTGATGTTCTTGCCTCTGTTACCTATGCATTGGAAGATCCTTACAAGCTTAGTGTGGTAATGAAGGCAAAAGCACTAAACAAGGCCACTCCAGTTAACTTGGCTCAACACACTTATTGGAACCTTGGTGGACACAACAGTGGAGATATCTTGTCCAACGTTGTTCAAATCTTTGTGTCACACATCACTCCAGTAGACGAACATCTCATTCCTACAGGTGAAATTTCTCCTGTCAAGAATACGCCCTATGATTTCCTTAAACCCCGTGAAGTAGGGAGCCAGATCAACGAACTCCAAAGTGGATATGACATCAACTATGCACTCGACAGCAGTGCAGAAATGAAGCCCGTGGCAATAGTTCATGACAAAAATTCAGGAAGAGTGATGGATTTACAAGCGTCTGCACCTGGTGTGCAATTCTACACTGCAAACTCCCTTATTCAAAAGGGGAAAGGTGGATATGTGTATCAGCCTCATGCAGCATTGTGCTTAGAGACTCAAGGGTTCCCTGATGCTGTGAATCACCCAAATTTCCCTTCAACAATTGTGACTCCAGGAAAGGCCTACACTCACAAAATGCTGTACACGTTCTCAATCATGAAATACTGGAATTCTTGTTAATTTTTTCCACCATCGCTTATGTCCTTTGTATCTTCTGCATAGATTGATATTTCTGTCAAGGTTATATGTTCTTTATAACAAACGAAACACCTGACATGAGACTCAATACAGTTCTGTTTTGATGGAGTTTTCAAAGAACAGTTTTAGACATGTTTAGTGAGTGTCGCGACCCAAACTGAAGGGCCACGACGGGCACCCGGTGCCTTAATAAACCGAGTACGAATGTAACATATCTTTCTTATCGTACTATCATTGGTCATTTGGTACCTTGTATGTCACTAATCCATAAATACGGGGTATTATAGCTAGGACCACATTTTATCCCCAAATTGTCAAACTTCAACGGAACTCATTTTCTTCGATTCGCTTACTCTCTCACCTTCACGAATTAACTTATCACTTGTTTGAAATAGCGTAATACTTATCACCTCAAAATAATCTCATTCTCGAGCTATGTAACATCTCATTTCCAAGCTTATATCAATTTACTTATGGTGTACTTTCACGTACGAAAACATGGGGTGTAACAGATAGTTTTGTTATTTTTTACCCTTCTGGAACAAATCAGAACTTGTTTTTAGTTAATAGTCTCCATTTACTATTCTGATCACATTGCTCCATAAAAATGGTTTGCAGTTTCATAGGTAGAATGTTTTTACCATAGATATGCTGTTGGCATTAATTTTGTTCAACCCTTCTAAACATTTTACATTGCACAACAACAATTAGTAAATGTGGTTACTAAAATCAATCCAAAACATATCAAAGAAGAATGATAGTAGCACAATTAGAAACAAATTATTTATTACTACATCCCGAAAAGAATTAGGTTCCTAAAGGTACATCGTCTGATCATGTGATTGAAGGGCCAAAACTGGAAGCTAATTTTGGGGCATTTAAAAAGTTGAATTAAGGAAATGGCAGATCATATGATTGACTAGTTTAATATACCTTTTAAGCCAAAATATTCTCCAAGTTGTTATTATTTCCAGAATATGAAACATGCAAACGTGGGTGGCATTTTTTTATTTACAGTTCAACACAAACAGCTACTGCTTAATTTAACAATACATAAAATAATGGGAACGGCTAACCTGACTCTTTCAATTTCAATACTGCACACTCACCATTGTCGATTTTTTTAATGATGAGGTTATCGCATTTCCACTACACACATATTATTTGGGAAACAAGTTCTCTTTTGTTCACATGCAGATAATAATCTAATATACCACAATAGTGCCAGATGAGTTGGAAGAGTACAAATATTCATAGCTGATCTGTCATTAAGAAACACTCTCTGAAGGCTCAAAAACAAAGGAGTTGACTATATGTCTTCAAAGGTTAGTAGTTTGTTTATCTGTTTGTTCATTCTTCAACTATGGGCTGCCGCTGTTGTTACAGGGCGAAAGATAGGAATCTATGAGATTAAGAAAGGAGATTTCTCTGTTAAGATCACTAATTATGGTGCCAGAATAATCTCTGTTCTTCTTCCTGATAAGCATGGTATGTGTATAAAGTGTACTGTTTTCTGCTACTCCTTGAAGACATTAGTCTTATTTTGCCTTTGATCCTTTCCAGGAAAAATTGGTGATGTTGTTAGTGGATATGACACCATCGAGGAATACAAGGTTAGTTCACTTTCTTTATTGTGTTTAGATGCATCTATTCGAGTTTGTTACTGATAGTTTTTAGTTCATTTTCTCTTTAAGAAAAAGATGATAGTTCAATTATTTCAGATGATACCAAAACCAGCTTTTGATAACTCGTCTTAACAAGTTTTCACTCTTTCAGTTCTACTATTAGTTAATGTCTACATGAGAGAGGATCTTGAACTTAGTAATGTGCCATTTTAAGTTTATAAGGGCATTAAAAATGGTTTATAAAGGTCTTATGCTACTCCAAACTATTCCTTTAGAGTTTCTGCGTCAGATGTTCAAGATTTTCCCACAATTTCAATTCGTTAGAATAATATGTCAAGTTTCGAAATATTTTGTGATTTTCTGCAGAATGATACACGTTATTTTGGAGCCCTACTTGGGAGGGTTGCTAACCGGATTGGTGGTGCTCAATTTAGTTTGAATGGAACCCTTTATAAGCTTATCCCCAATGAAGGAAATAACACCATTCATGGTATACTCTCATTACATTTCCTTTTACCCTTTTTATCCCTAATGAAGGCAATAACACCATTCATGTATCTCTGATGTAATTAAAACCTCAAATAAAGGTGGCCCTAAAGGATTTAGCTATGTTGTTTGGAAGGTGAGCAAATACGTGCAAGATGGTCCATGCCCTTGCATAACTCTAACATACCATAGTGCTGATGGTGAAGAAGGTAAAATCTTGATATTCCATATAATTTTGTTTTGACGGACGTTATGAATTGAATAAACTTCATTGCGATGTTATGTAGGATTTCCTGGAGATGTTCTTGCCTCTGTTACTTTTGCATTAAAAGATCCTTACAAACTTAGCGTGGTATTTAAGGCAAAAGCACTGAACAAGGCTACTCCAATTAACCTGTCTCACCACCCTTACTGGAACATTGGTGGTCACAACAGTGGCGACGTCTTGTCTCAGGTTGTTCAAATCTTTGCATCAAACATCACCCTAGTTGACGAACAGCTCATTCCCACAGGCGAGATCGCCCCTGTCAAGAACACACCATACGACTTTCTAAAACCCCGTAAGGTGGGGAGCAGGATCGACAAAATCGATAGAGGATATGACAGAAACTATGTACTTGACAGCAATGAAAAAATGAAACCCGTGGCAAAAGTTTATGATAAGAAATCAGGAAGAGTGATGGATATACAAGCGACTGCACCTTGTGTGCATTTCTACACTGCAAATTGGGTGATTGATGTAAAAGGGAAAGGTGGATATGTGTATCAGCCTCAATCATCATTGTCTTTGGAGACTCAAGGATATCCGGATGCTGTGAATCACCCAAATTTCCCGTCGATAATTGTGAATCCAGGAAAGACCTATGCCCACACTCTGCTGTATACGTTCTCCATCAAGAAATAGTACTACTTAGAATGCTTGATTTCTGTCCCTCTTAAAATATTCTACTTAAATTGATTTTTGTATCATGGTTATATGTTCTCTGTGACAAATAAAACTCTGATATTCATGATATAATATAATTTTCTTCGTTTAAGTATTTGGATAGTTTTCAAACAATTTTTTTCGATATCACACTTTTGGGAACCACTTACAGAGGACCACAACCAAACAAAATTGTTAACCCAAAGCTGCAAAAGAAAGTGTAGAGTGTTAAAGGTAAAAAGTTACATGCACACATTGTTGGTAACAAACCAAATGCAGAAATTGTGTTTTTTAGACACATATTTATCACTTTAATATGATTGAGTAATATGGGTTCTTACTTTAATTTTTAACGGCTAAGGTTAAATTCCTTAGTTTGGTGTAAATACAAGACGCGAATAAGTGGCAAATACATAGATGCTTATGCTGTAAGACCCTATGAACCGGAAAACGCTAAACGCAATCCTAGGACTTAAAAATGGAACAGACGCATGATTTATTGTAATGAGGTTGAAGGGCCAACATTGAAAGCTAAATTTAAGATATTTAAAAGGCAGAAGAACCCAAGAAATGGCGAAACATGTGATTGAGATTATTATGCTTCTCCATCTTTTAAGCCAAATAGTGGGCCAAGTTTTGATTATTTCCATAATAAGAATGGAAGACACCGTATAGCTGCTGTAATTTTTTATATAATTTTATACATTTTTTCGGGTATAAATAATTTCTGAAGCGGGCTAAAAATGACTCCACAAGAATCACGCCAACGTGGGTGCCATTTTGTTTGGATTTACAAGTCAACACAAACTACTACTGTCTACTGCAATTAGTTACATAAAATAATGGGAGACGGCTAACTTGACTGTGAATTTTAAGACTTCACACTCATCATTATCCATTTTCTACGGAGCTATCCAATTTCCACGCAGATTATTTCGCAGACAAGTTTTCTTTTGTTCACATGCAGGTAATAATCTAATCCCACAAATAATACCAGATGAGTGGTAGTGGAGGAGTATATAAATTCAAGGCTAAAGAATTGTCATTAAGACACTCCAAAGTCTAAAAAAACACTAAAGTTGACTATGTCTTTAAAGATTAATTTGTTGGTCTGTTTGTTCATTTTTCATCTGTTGGCCGCCGCTAGTGTTTCAGGGCGAAAGATAGGAATCTATGAGATCAAGAAAGGAGATTTCTCTGTTAAGATCACTAATTATGGTGCCTCAATCATATCTGTTCTTCTTCCTGATAAGCATGGTATGTCTGTCTTTTACCTAATCAAATCCCAATTTTTTGGAAAATGTATTCTGATTTTAAAATCTGTTTTTGTTAATATGTGTACTGTTTTCTGCTATTCCTTGAAGACATTAGTCTTATCTTGTGTTGCTAATTTCCAGGAAAAATAGGTGATGTTGTTCTTGGATATGACACTATCGAGGAATACAAGGTTAGTTTCACTTTAAATTGTTCATCGTATTTGTATGTGTTTATTCCAGTTTGCACTTTTCTGATAAAAATATACTTCATATTCTCATTAAGAAAAAAGAGAAACAGAGAAAGGGAGGGATATATTCTTCTTGCCTTCCCTTTCTTTTGATCGCCGTCCATTTTATTACTACAATGTTGTTCTGGGTCAGTCAGTCTCATATAAGGGTGTCAAATAGGCGAGTTGGGCTGATTTTGGACGGGTCAAAATGGGTTGACTCAATAAATGACCCGCCCAAAAGTAACTTGGTTATGAGTCAATGGCACCGGTTCTTTGAATTGTGCCATGTCAAAATCCACAGTCATTTGATACAGTCTGATTATAGTTCTTTTCTAAACCTCGCATCTTTTGGATTGACGTGAAGTACATAGAAAGAAATGTAGTCGGTTTATTCTCAATTAATGAAAATCTGAACTTGAATCATTTAAATTTGAATTCATTGATGCATTTATTTTCTTCTCTTTGCAATCACTTATTTTCTTTGAATATATCTGATTTATTCAAAACTTGTACATACTCTTAAAATCATTAAGATGATGTTGCATTTGAAAATTTATGTGAATGAAACCTCTTATGATTACTTTATCTACTATCACCACAAACCACCACCATCAGCCTCCATCGTACAACTACTCTATATTTTAAGACTGCGTCCCCTAGCCTATCTCCGCTAAACCTCCCATTTATTGGATTGATGTGAAGTACATTGAAGCAAATTCAAAAGCCCTATTTATTTTGACTTACGAAACTAATTTGGTGCAGAATGATACAAGTTATTTTGGAGCCACACTTGGAAGAGTTGCTAACCGGATTGGTGGTGCTCAATTTACTTTGAATGGAATCCATTATAAGCTTGTCCCCAATGATGGCAATAACACCATTCATGGTACTCTCACTACATTTCCTTTTCCCTTTACTTTCTCATCCACTTTTACCTCCATTTCCCAAATATCCTTTCTCTGTCTTTGATGTAAATTAAACTTCAAATATATAGGTGGCCCTAAAGGATTTAGCAAAGTTGTTTGGAAAGTAAGCAAGTACGTGAAAGATGGTCCCTGTCCTTACATAACTCTAACCTACTACAGTGCTGATGGTGAAGAAGGTATACAAGACAATTACTCGTCCCGTTTTAATTTTGTTATTCTTTTTGGAACGAACTAATAAGGAAATAAAGTCACGTAAAATGGAACTGATGGAGTAACTCCTTTTTAAGAACACTAATGAATTGAATAAACTCCATTGCTTTCTTATGTAGGATTTCCTGGTGCTGTTCTTGCCTCTGTTACCTATACATTGAAAGATTCTTACAAACTTAGCGTGGTATTTAGGGCAAAAGCACTGAACAAGGCCACTCCAATTAACTTGTCTCACCACCCTTACTGGAACATTGGTGGTCATAATAGTGGCGACGTCTTGTCCCAAGTTCTTCAAATTTTTGGATCACACATCACCCTAGTAGATAAAGAGCTCATTCCCACAGGCGAAATTGCCCCCGTCAAGAACACGCCGTATGATTTCCTCAAACCCCGTAAAGTTGGGAGCAGGATCAATAAACTCAAAAATGGATATGACATCAACTATGTACTTGACAGCAATGAAAAAATGAAACCAGTGGGAATAGTTTATGATAAGAAATCAGGAAGAGTGATGGATGTACAAGCATCTGCACCTGGTGTTCAATTCTACACTGCAAATGGGGTTAAAAATATAAAAGGCAAAGGTGGATTTGTATATCAGCCTCATTCAGCATTGTCTTTGGAGACACTAGTGTTCCCTGACGCTGTGAATCACCCTAATTTCCCGTCATCAATTGTGAATCCCGGAGAGAAATATGTCCATTCTGTGTTGTATACGTTCTCCATAAAAAAATAGGAGTACTAGAATGCCTATATTTTTGCTTGTGTCTTTTGTATCTTCTGCATAAATTGATGTTTCTGTCAAGGTTATATCTTCTCTGTACACCTGACGTTTAGAATAACTGATAGTTTTTTTCTAGACCAAGTTAAAATTCATAACTTAGTGTCAAGTTAATAGTCTCAGTTGAGATTTCTAATCTCGTTAATTACTCCATAAAAATCGCAAGTAGTTTTTACTAAAGATATGCTTTTGATATTGATCCTGTCCTACCATATTGTTGATGCAATCATGCTAAAGTTGCAAAAGGAACAGGGTAACAAGCAAAGTATTCAAACAGAATTTAAACGCAACCCGAAGGACTACAATATGAATAACACTATGATCTAATTTAATGCTGTTGAAAGGCAAAATTGAAAGCTAAATCTACGACCTCCGAGGTATTTACAGAGTAGATCTAGTTCAAGAAATGGCGGAACAAGTGGTTGAGTTTAATATATCTTTTATGCCAAATAATGGGAAAAGCTTTTATTATTTCCAGAATAAGAATAATGCCAACGAGGGTGCCATTTTTTGTATTCATAAGTCAACGCAAACAGCTAGCTACTACTTCAGAAGTTAACTACACATAAAATAATGGAGACGGCTAACTTGACACTGTCAATTCTTAGACTGGACTCATCATTGTCCATTTTATACGGAGATATCCCGGTTACACGCAGATTATTTAGGCGGACAAGTTTTTTTTTGTTCACATGCAGGTAATAATCTAATCCCACAACAGTGCCGGATGAATCCGAGGAGTGCATAAATTCAAGGCTGAAGAAGCTGCACTAAGACACTCTAAAACAACTAGAGTTGACTATGTCTTCAAAGATTAGTCTGTTGTTGATCTGTTTGTTCATTCTTCATCTGTGTGCTGCCGCTAGTGTTAGAGGGCGAAAGATAGGGATATATGAGATCAAGAAAGGAGATTTCTCTGTTAAGATCACCAATTATGGTGCCTCAATCATCTCCGTTTTTCTTCCTGATAAGAATGGTATGTCTGTCTTCCATCTTCATCAATCCCATTTTTCATCACCCTTAACCATAAGTCTCGAGTTCGAGCCGTGCGAATGGAGAAGGCCCTTGTAGTCAGGGGCGGAGGGAGAGCATTTACTACAGGTTCGAGGAACCCAGTAGCTTTTGCTTAAACCCAGTATTTGTATTAGAAAATTCATAAAATATGCATAAATATTTAATTGCGAACCCAGTAGCTAAGACGAGTTATGGGTTCGGTGACGAATTCAGAACCCATAAACTTCAAATTCTAGTTCCGCCTCTGCTTCTAGTAGCATTCCCCTGTAATGGGTCGCGAATCTGTATTAGTAAGTAGGGTATATCAAATGGTTAATTAAAAAATCTCATCTTCCAGAAAACGTAGTCCTGTTTTAAATCTGCTTTTGTTTGAACCTTCTTGATGTGTTTATCAGTACTGTTTTCTGCTATTTCTTGAAGAACTCAGTTTTACCTTGTGTTGATCCTTTCCAGGAAAAATAGGCGATATTGTTCTGGGATATGACACCATCAAGGAATACAAGGTTAGTTCACGTTCGTTTGTCCATTGTACTTTAATGCATCTATCCGAACCTTGCTCTTTTCTAAAAACTTCTTCACATTATCATTAAGAAAAACGAGAACAGAGAAAGGGAGGTTCAACTTTAAGTCACTAATTTTATTGAGCCGCTCCTGCCTTGAATTGTGCCAATGTCAAACTCCATAGTCATTTGACATTGTCTAATTGTAGTTCCTTCAACAAAGATCGGGTCCCTAGCCTATAATATCTCCCCTAAACCTCACATCTTTGTGAAGTATACTGAAGGATATAAAAATTAGCTCCGTCTGTTTTCACTTAAGAACATAATTTGGTGCAGAATGATACAAGTTACTTTGGAGCCGCACTTGGAAGGGTTGCTAACCGGATTGGTGGTGCTCAGTTTACTTTGAATGGAACGCATTATAAGCTTGTTGCCAATGAAGGCGTAAACATGTTACATGGTACTCTCGCTATATTTCCTGTTTTTTCTCTTCCACTTTATCCAAATTTCCTTTCTGTCTCTGATGTAATTAAAACTTCAAAAATATAGGTGGTCTTAAAGGATTTAGCAAAGTTGTCTGGAAGGTGAGCAAGTATGTGCGACATGGTCCAAGTCCTTACATAACTCTAACCTACTATAGTGCTGATGGTGAAGAAGGTAAATTTTTGTATGGACAAGACAATTACACCCTTCGTTTCAGTGACTGGATACGAAATTTAAGAACTAAGGCTTTTAGAACTTGTGATTTTAAATATGTCATGATATTTTTGTGGATAAAAGCGTGACATTACGGGTAAACTCCATTGCTTTCTTATGTAGGGTTCCCTGGTGATGTTCTTGTCTCTGTTACTTATGCATTGAAAGACAACCCTTACAAACTTAGCGTGGTATTTAAAGCAAGAGCTCTAAACAAGGCCACTCCAATTAACCTGTCTCACCACCCTTACTGGAACATTGGTGGTCACAACAGTGGCGATGTTTTGTCCCAAGTTCTTAAAATCTATGCATCACACATCACTCCATTAGATGAACAACACATTCCTACAGGCGAAATTTCTCCTGTCAAGAACACACCCTACGACTTCCTCAAACCCCATAAGGTGGGGAGCAGGATCGATAAAATCCAAAATGGATATGACATCAACTATGCACTTGACAGCAATAAGAAAATGAAGCCTGTGGCGATTGTTTATGATAAGAAGTCAGGAAGAGTGATGAATATACAAGCGACTGCACCTGGTGTGCAATTCTACACTGCAAACTTCGTCATTAATACGAAGGGAAAGGGTGGATATGTATATCAACCTCATTCAGCCTTGTGTTTGGAGACTCAAGGATTCCCGGATGCTGTCAATCATCCAAATTTCCCTTCGACTATTGTGACTCCTGGAAAGACCTACCTCCACTCCGTGTTGTACACATTTTCTATCAAGAAATAGAATGCTTATATTATTTTTGTATCTTCTGCATAAATTGATATTTCTGTCAAGGTTATATGTTCTTCCTGAGGAAGACATTTGGACTCAATACAGTTGTGTTTTAATGGAGTTTTCAGAGAACTGCTTTCAGAGATATCAGAACTTGTTTTTAGTTAATAGTCTCAGTTGAGTGTTCTGATCACGTTGCTTCATAAAAATAGTCTGCATTTTCATAGGTGGCATGTTTTGCCAAAGATATGCTGTTGGCATAATTCTGTTCCTACCCCTGTAAACATTATACATTGCACAAATAACAACTAATGAATCTAGTTAGTAGAAGTAATCTAAAAACATGGAGTATTAAAGAAGGTGAAATAGCACAATTAGAAACAAAAAGCTATTGCTACATTCCAAAATGAGTTAGATTGGTAAAGGTACAACTCACTAATCTTCCAGTTTATTCTGCACCCAAATGCCTTGATAGAAACAGAATCTTACCTTTTTAAACTATGTTATGTGAACTTAATCAGCTTACCGTTTTAATTCTCGCTTCCACAGCAACCAAAGAAAGTTGTTGATACAAAGTCGCAATGGAAACTGGGTAGCAAGCAGAGTGTTCAAACAGAAGGTTTAAAACCAAAACCTTCTGTTTGTTATATTCTTTATATTCTTTGGTTATAGGTTTTACTGTTATCTACTACTAATCCAGAGCTGAGCCAATTTCATGGCTGCTGAAGTAGTATAATATTTTGTAACTTTGGAATATAGGCTCTAGTAATAATCCTTTGGACGACATCCAAGAAGCTGTTTCTACGCAAATTCCTAAAGGATTTCACAGAACCAAGGTTGCACCCCCCTCCCCCCTCCCCCCCCCCCCCCCAACATGAGTGGATATTCAGGATAGTTACCCTAGTGACTTACCAAACACACCATAGATTGCTTATGAACCAACCCAAAATCTCGGATCACACTGCAATTTGTGTCCAAGAATTTCTCTTGCATGGACCACCATTGCCGATGCCTCTGCACGAAATGAACTAAACTAGGATCATAGATCATTAGTGTCTGAAATGTGGTCTCATGGAATGCACCCACATCACCATCATCATCAGAAAATAATGATGTAGGCATTAAAATGATTTATCCTGGAGGTGACCAAGAAATTACTAGTGAAACCTATTAGCAAAATGGATGACCAACACTTGGACCTGCATTTCAAAACAAAAGTCTAATCTCCATTTAAGAAGTCTCAGTTGAAAGATAAGGAAGCATAATAATTTACAGGTTGCATCAAATAAAGTTTCTTCTTTAAGGATGCACTTAAAGTTTCCCCTTCTGCTTCCAGCATACTATAAAGTCTTTTCATCAGCACGACTAGGCTGAGAAGAAACCAGTAAACAGCAAACGCTAAGTTGCTTCTCTGATAACATAGTTAACTTTTTATGGTTGGTAAGTGAGGGTATAGTTAGATGGTGAGGCATATGAACCATTTGGTGAAGAGAGGCTCTGAGCTGCATTACTCTTTGCTACAACCCCAGCTTGCACTTTATTGCCATTCTTGTCATTTATGTTGACAACATCTTTAACTTGCACTTCAGGAAATTTGGCAATGTCTTTCAGTAAAGGCAGAGGCTTCAGCATTTCAACGACTTCACTCATATGAGGTCTGTTTTTGGCACTCCTTCTAAGACAGCGCGCTGCAATCTCAGTAGACCTAAATGCTCCTCTCTTTGAGAAGTGGCCTTCGAGACGAGGATCTATAATCTGACAAAACTGATGCCTATCTGAAAGAAATGGTTTTGCCCATGCCACTAAGTTATGTTCACCTCTTGGCCTGCTCTTGTCCATGGCTCTTCGGCCAGTCAGTATCTCAAGGAAAACCACTCCAAAGCTATAGACATCACTTTTCATTGAGAGATGTCCTGCCAAAAGTATAATAGTGTCAATAATTAGGTAATATACTGTACAATCATCAAGAGATTATCTTTCCTACAACGATAGCAATTCTATGGTGTTTAAATAAAATTGTTCCACAGGGCTAATCATTTCATATCCAGCATATTGCTGTTATATCATAATACTTGACATCCTTGAAGCATGAAACTCTGAACAGCAGAGACTAAACATGGATATGGTTCTGGGATTACAGCCAAATAAATATAAGTATTTAATAGGTGTCTTATATTTTCTACTGTGTAATGAACGTATGAATAAAAATGGAATCTTTACTCGTGATGGACGACATAATGACCAACTTTAACGTAATTATGAGGGTCTTGTATTTAGTACTGTCGATTTCAGCACAGGATATGGCAGCTCAATAAATATGAAAACTTCCTATAAAAGGCCAAATATAACCAGTACTTCATAAAAAATTAAAAAAAAAAAAAAAAGTACTTCATGCAATTATATCTTAAGGACATGTGAGTAAACATCATTTCGTACTTCAAATCCCGTTTCTCACTCCCTCGGCATTCCTCCCTCCAAGAACTCCTCACCTTGCTCTTGGGATGACTCGAACTCACATCCTCTTGGTTAGAAGTGGAGGATGCTCACCACTAGAGCAACCCACTCTTGTCGACGAAGGGAGAAAAAGAAAAGAATAAAAAGAAAGCAAGGAAAAGAAAACGCAGTCTAATATGGGTACAAGATCACGAGGTTGAATTTTGGCCTACCATTTAATAAGCACAACATGGTTTACTCTATCCAAGAATATAAATTCAAAACTCCATTTCCCTCTCCAATCCATGGGCCATGTATCATTCCTTCCTCACTTCCCGAGAAATGTGATTGTTAGCATTGTATTCCTATAACAAACTAACATAAGCTCAACAATGGGATCTGCGTATTCCTTCATAATTCAACCCCGGCCACACACTGTGGGACTAAATTACCTCCTCCCCAGTGTCGACCTCATAAAAAAATGAGTTAATTAATAGTTGCAGATTCCAAAAGCACCTTTTTTCCTCCAATAAAATCTGAACCTTGAAAGGACTTTCGAGGAATACTACCATAGCAAAAGAGTTAAAGCTTGCACAAAGCCTAAGAAATGCATTGTTTTCCCAAGGACAACACAATTTGAAAAGAAGAAAAAAAAGAAAAGAAAAATGGCTGAAAATCTTTTTCTGTTTGAGTTCCCCACCAGAAACATGGCTGAGCGGATTCTCCAAGGAGAATGGAGGTGGAAGAAATTCAAGCTTTATCTCGAATGGTGGAACCCCATCATCGGCTGTCTTCCCAACTCCACATCTGTCAAAACTACCTGGATCAGAGCCATGGGAGTCCCCATACATCTATGGTCACAGAAGATATTCAAAGAAATAGGAGATCTTTGTGGTGGGTGGAAAGCTACGGAAGAAGAGACAGAACTCAAGAATCATCTCAAGTGGGCAAGAATTCAAGTAGCAGGAGATGGCCGGAACATACCAAACGAGGTAGCCATTGAGAGAGAGGGGGTCAAATTCTTCATACCAATATGGGCTGAAAGAAAAACTCGCTTTGAAAAAAGGCCGGAGATTTTCAAGGAGACAACCGGAGATGACACAGGATTGAAGCCTCTGATGAACTGCCGGACAAAGATAAATCGCGAGGTAGAAAGGGTACAGGATAGCCTTCTAGCTGTACATGGGACGGGTAAGTACCACGTGGGGTGGGGTGTACTGAGTTCATTGACAAAAGTAAGGGAAAGGAAAGGCACGTGCAATGCAGGAGGATGGTTTGGGAGAAGTAACATTATTTTTGGGCCAATCCATTGAGCCCAACAATGGGATAGCTATTAAAAACATACTTGGACCTGACTGTGCATCCCAAGTTATCTTTAATGAATTATATCTGGAGCCATCAGAGATCATAAGGTTCGATTCTTTTGTAGAAGAGACGAAAGCTGATTTGCATTCACAACAAGAAGCCAACCAGGAAAACCAACAGAGGTCCATTGATGTAGCTGCAAATTTGGGGAGTTCACTACATGCAGAGATGCTGATGCTAGAGGAGCTAAGAGAAGAAGAAGGGAAAGGGTTACAAGAGATGAAGGTAGACAATGCTCTGCCACTAATCGCAACTGGGGAACCTCATCTTATTTCGGAAATTGAGTGTGAGAATCAGCTACATCCTAATTCTAGTGGGGAAAATTGGAAAGTGGAGTATGCTGAACCTCTTATGGTTCAGCACCAAGAGTCTTTTCTGGAGAAAGAGATGGATGCGGCCTTATGGGTTAATCAAAATTTGCTCAAACTGAGCAAAATGTTTGGGGTAGATTTTCAGGGACATGAAGAAGAAGCATTGGAATTACTGATGCAGATAGATAGTTGTAGACAGGCTAAAAGGATGGAGCCAGAACTGGACATCAAGAAAACCATATTCAAAGGGGCACATGAGTTGAAAGGTTTGGTTTCCTTTGACGTTAAATTCCAGAGCAACGGAAAAAGATTTAGGGGAAAAAGCGTGACACTAGTTGATCAATGAAGTTCAAACTAGTTTCATGGAATGTAAGGTGACTTAATGATTTGGCTAAAAGAAAGATAGTAAAGAGTTTAGTTCAACTCTGGCAAGCAGATATTATCTGTTTTCAAGAGACTAAACTTGAGGGGGAAATACAAGAGCTTGTTAAGCAGATTTGGGGAGGGCGATGGGTGAGGTTTGCTTGTCTGGAGTCTAGTGGTACTAGAGGGGGCATTATAATGTTATGGGATTATAGAATTTGGAAAGCGGAAGTCGTTCAAATTGGAGCATATACACTCACAAGCAAATTTGAGGCACTCTTGCGGAACTTTGAATGTCACATAACAGGGGTGTATGCCCCAAACTGTAACATTGAGAGGAGGAAAGTTTGGTGGGAGATAGGAGCTGTGAGGGGTTTGATGAACGGCCTATGGGCTGTTTGTGGTGATTTTAACGTTACTAGATTTCCTTCTGAGAAAAGGAATTGCCATAGAAGATCCAGAGCTATGGTGGAATTTTCAGATTTTATAGATGATATGAATCTGATTGATCTCCCACTAGAAGGAGGTGTCTACACATGGTTCAAAGGGGACAACCAAATAATCTCCTCCAGAATTGATAGAATCTTGATCTCTAAAGAATGGGATGACACTTTTAGGAACATCAAACAATCCCTCCTCCAACGACTAATCTCATACCACGTTCCTGTGTCTCTACAATGTGGTTCTTGGGAGCACACCAAGTCATACTTTAAGTTTGATAACTGGTGGCAGAACACACAAGGTTTCATACATAGAATCAAAGAATGATGGACATCTTTTGAATTTTCAGGGAGGCCAGATTTCATCTTAGCTTGCAAAATGAAAGCACTCAAAGGCAAGTTGAAGGAATGGAGTAGAAGTAGCCAGGGGAACTTGGGATTGCAAAAGACCAACTTGCTAAATCAATTGGCAATGTTGGACTCCAATCTAGAAATTAGAGCTCTAACAAAAGAGGAATTAGTGAAGAAGGCCTCTCTTCTCATAGAATATGAGGAACACCTGAAAAATGAAGAAATTGCATGGAGGCAGAGATCCAGAGCTCTTTGGCTTAAGAAGGGGG